GCACACTGCAGTTTAATGTTGCAAAGCACCTCTTTTTAACTTCAGTGGATATTATACATGGTTATCGTCAGTTATATCGTTATCGCAAATTTTCAAATATATATCGTGATATATATTTTTGGCCATATCGCCCTGCCCTAGTGTTGAGCTCATACAGCGTTCTTCACACAGCGACGACTCAACGGGAAGTAGTTTTATTCTAGCTGTGTGATGTTCAGTTGTGTGTTTAACAGCTGCTGATAAAAACTGTAAATATGTCAGCAGGTTACCGATGAAATAGAAAATGCAGTTATGACGAACACATGATATTACGTCGATGTTTTCATGAAAGATTAGGACTGTGGACAGCTATCTAAAGGATGCTCCGGCGTCTCCTCTGCTTAAGGACGCACCTTTCCTTAGTATGTGGGACAGCTCTGATTATGGCCGCCACACAGATACTTTCGGGTCACGTCTCTCAGTGAAGAACTTTCACTAGCAAAATGGACTCAGTGGGTTCAGTGAGCTGACAGGAAGTGACATCATTAACAGTTAGTGGTGGTTGATGTGACAGGAAGTTCAAAGATGAATCATCATTACGCTGATGGTGCGATCTCAAACATCGACTGTTTTTAAGAATCCAAACACTCTGAAGGGAAATCTTTAAAACCGCACCGTGAGTCGGAGGAGGCCTGTGAACATGTGACACATGGATCACATGACCTGACAATAAAAGCCTGCTCACACGTTTGCAGTGAAAGGCTTTTAATTTGAAATAATACAGGAAGTTTATGTATAAGGGTTGGAGCAGGTCAGGTCTGCTGATTGGAAGGTCGGCGGTCCGATCTCTGGCCGCTGCAGTCTGTGTACCCTTGTTTCTCCATTAGAGTGTGAATGAGTGTGATTGGGAGACAGAGGCGCGTTGTATATAGCGCTCAAAGAGAAGTGCTACATAAGAACCAGTCCATTTACCACAAACAGCATGATGCAGTAACAGGTGACCAGGTTGCTATGGTAACAGACACCATCCAGCTGTGTACTGCAACTCCATTTACGCTGTTGTAATGTCAGAGCTGATGTCATCTGTGTTCAGTATCATTTGACGTATCACGTGATCAGCTGTGACCTCATGCAAAAAGCTACAGATGTTCTTCCTGGCTAGTGTCATTAGCTAACCATCAACACCTGGTTGTTGCTGGAGCCGGGGCATCGCCTCGGTCATAGCTGAAGGGAGAAATGGTGTCCTGGAGCTCCTCTGACATAGAACGCTGATCATTCATGCCTGAGCCCTTAGGATGGGTAAGGTATAGATCAGAGACACGAGGAAAACCTCACATGATTGTAATGTAAAAACGGGTGTTGATGATGTCACACATTTTGATTGGTCAGGTGGTTTCAGTCCTGGGGGATAATACTAGCTGTAAGTATAATTACCCCCAGACCAGGGTGCTTTGAACCTGATCACGTGATCTGTACCTGTTCTCAGATGGCGGAAATGGTGAAGTACGTGGACGACGAACATAAGAGCATCTTCTTGAAGCTGCTGAACGAGCAGCGGCTGGAGGGCGAGCACTGCGACATTGCCGTGGTCGTCGAAGACGTCAAGTTCCGTGCTCACCGCTGCGTCCTCGCCGCCTGCTCCAACTACTTTAAAAAGCTCTTCAAAAAACACGAGGTACCTCAAAAATACATCTGTGTACTTAATGAGTACTTCGAACACAAAGTATTGTACAGATTTTTTCAGTTTTATTGGTATAGTGCCAACAACAGTTGCCTCAGGCAATTTAGATAGTAAGGTAAAGAGTACAATAATACAACAAATACAGTTTACCTGGTGAAGACCGACTGTGCAAGGTGACACCAAGGTCCCTGCCAGCAACATCTTATTAACATTTAAATCTACAACACATTTAATTTCATCATTTAATTTTAGAGGATCATCATTTAGCCTGGAGAAATAGTTTGCTGCTTTATAAGAAAGCCCTCCGCAAAGCCAGAACATCTTACTATT